GGAGTGCTAACTAGACCTCTTGACGAGTCACGAAAGAATATTAAACAGGTTAATGTATCCAGTGATAGTGTAGAAAGTAACTGTGTGACCCTAAGCAGTATGAAAAACAGCTCTAGATGTCCATCTATGATCTGGAGGCTGAGCTTTGAACTCTAAAGATAACTGCCTTACGATCTTTAGATTAGTTTGACATACTGTAAACTGTAGGAAGTGAGTAATTTAAGGAAGGATTCCTAGTTTTAGAGCCCTTTTGTAGCCTTCAAATGGGATGGTTTAAAACTAAGGTTATTCTTAACATGCGTACCTACTGTAACTAAAAATTTGAGAAACTTATAGCACATGAAGCATTTTAATGTTCAATTTTAAATTAGTTGTATTTTTGTCTTGCTGCTTCTCACATATTCCTTTGTGTGAGCCAAAATGAACATTCTCTAATCTTTCAACAGAACAAAAGATATTAAGTTGCCTTAGCTAATTGTCCTCTCCTGAATTTTATTTTAGGCTTATTATTTCCACTGTCACTGTAGAGCAGAACTCCCTAAAGAACTTAAAATTGATCAATTTGCTTAAGAAGCTTTGTTCCTATAATAGAGGAGAAAATCTGAAATATGTATGAGGAAACTGAGAATGATCATCTCTATTAGGGCTAAAATAACTCTGTAAAATGTTCACAGTCTGACTGCAGTAATTATACAGTAAACTTCTCACTAATGTAATTTTGTAAAGCTTTTAGGTTTTTTAATTTTTAATTTATTTTTTAAATTTTAAAAATTTTGTACTTTTTTCTGCCTTAATACAGTAATCAGAAGAAAGATTGACTAATTATATTAATCTCCCTTATTTACATCTCCTAATGCAGAGTGTTGGAATACTTACCCAAATCAGGTGAAATCACAGTTCTTCTGGCTTGTATGAATTCACTTGCCATGATGGATTATTCAGAATAATACATGGCATTAAAAGTGCTAACAGCATGTTACTAACCTCTGCTTGCTTTTACTTTGTCATTTTCTTTTTTTTCTTTTTTTTTTTCCTCTATGAAATAACTCTGCATTTCTTCTTTCTCAGGAAGATTCAGAGAGGGCCAGGTATTCTCACCGGTCCAGTCGACATTCATATTTGGTTTGTGTTTTAACTGTATACTTTTCCTTTTCCATCATGGTGTTTAAAAAAAACCAAACCCACAACAGTTTGAGTTTTGGTTTCATTTTCTTAGGGAGCAGATGATGCTTGAAGTCTTCCAAGCATTAGCAGTTTCGGAGTTGGTATTTTAAGTCACATGTAATATTAAAGTTCATCTGGTGTTTTATTTCCATCAATATTAACAAGGTAGTTTATTTTTGTGTATTTTAATCTTTGCATTTAACGAGAATCTCAGCTGTCATGTTTTAATTATTTGACTATGTTTTTACTATAAATACCTCTTAACTTTTCTACATATATTTATTTACAGTATATTTACGTTGTTGAAAGTAGTTGGAAACTGTTTGGGAATACATGTAGTTCAACAGTCAATTATTTGAAATGACATATTTAATGACAAGTTTTCAGTGTCATCTTTTAGTGTTATTTCAGTCTAATATAATTTATTTCTTTTTAAAAAAGCTGAATAATTGTACTCATGTAGGCTTCAGATATTGCCAATTATAAGGATTAATTGCCTTGTATTGAAATGGAAGAGTTTTAATGTTCCTACATAAGCTGTCAATTGTCTTCTGGTTATTACTACACATCAAATCTCGTGGTTCATGTGTGAAGGTGCTATTAATGACCAAACACTGGTTTAGTTTAGATAAGTCCAATGGGAAAAAAAATCTCCCTGCTTCCCTGTCTCAGAAATTTTGCAAACAGGAAAATTTTATTTAATGAACTAAATACTATTGCTGTCTCAGTCATCCTGCATCAAGCCACTTATTGAACATGAGTAACACTGATTTGTGACTTGGGCTTTCGTTCCAAACTGAGCTGGTGGTCGTCTGCTCACTGTTGTGTCTTTTCTTGCACTTTAACTATTATTGTATTTCTTTAATCTTTGTGGAAGAAAAAGTAGTAGTACCTGAGGATACAAGTTAAAAAAGTTTGGCGTGATGCAGGGTTTTCTTTCTTTGAGCATGTGGGGATATATTATTCATTGCTGAAAGATGCAAAGTATCCCAAAGACTGCTAATATAAGTATTTATTGTATTGTATAGGCTCTCCTGCATCCTCTTTAGGTCATATACAGTGCTAAAGAATGTTTTTATGGAGAGCTTGTAAACATTTTCCTGGTTTTAGTAGATTTGCCTAGAAATAAGCTTGTCTTTGATCTAGATTATATAGGCCAGGAGAGGGACAAATAACTAAAATAAAGGTGTTCAGTTTGTTTATTTCGGAAGGTGGAATAAACTGTTTCTTTGTGTGACTTAAAAAAAAAAAAGTGATTGTCACTTACCAAGATGTTTCAGCAATTAAATGTAAGTTTTGATTAACTGAATTTTGTGTAAAGTCTTGCAAGTCCTGGTGTTAGGTGTTTCTGCAATTTATCACACAGATATTTTTACCGAATAAATGATTTAAATCGGGTAGCGTTGCCTGCTTTGCGAATGGTAAATGTTTTACGGAAAAAGCGTGTGAAATACACCCTATGGCAACGCTTACGAACTTGTGAGCTGCTACAGACTTGCTCAGATCTGCTCTTGCCTTGGTTAACGCTAAACATGCAAAGACAGATTAAATAATTGGCCCTTGACTAAAGAATAGGACTTGAATTCAGCAGGTAACTGAGCTCATTTTGGAGGGGCTCACCCGGAATTTCTTTGACCACCTTGCTTATTTTATGCCTTTCAGTGAAGATTAACAGTTATCATTAGAGCTCTTTGAAATTATTTTATACGTTGATATATTTTTTACGATTTTGTTCTTAAGAGTTCTTTGGATGTCAGTGGGTCTCACAGGAGCAGAGCAAGTGCCTCCAGAAGGAGAGATCTTGTGGTGTGTAGCCTGGAACAAGCATGCTTTGATGTGTTCACATGATAATGTTTTTTTGTGTCTACTTACCAAAGCAGGAGTTTGGTGAAAGCATGCTCTTTATAGAAAATGGTATTAGTTGGCCTGCTGCAATGATTGATGTCTTCAAACACTTTGTGATAGCAAGTTTGAGGGCTCAAACATGAAGTGTTGAGGGTTCTGTCTTAAAGATGACTTCAAGTTTGAAGGGAATTAGTCTCTCTCTTCTAAATATACCCAAAAGAGAAGTAAAATAAAGTGGCAAATGTTATCCATCAACCTTCATAGGTACAAAAATGTTGCTAAAAGTTATGGCAGGAAACCTTTTTTCTCAGTTATGTTGTGATGTTAGTCCTGCAGTTGAGGCTGTAACAAACAGAAATTTTTCATGTTCAGAAATGGATATTTTTGTATATTTTGTGGTATTCCTAGTTCAGGCAACTTAAATATATGATAGTAGACTGTTAAGCTTTTAATAGTTAAGTAAAGGTTTAAGTTAAGTGTTGTGATGATGATTATCTGAGTGATCTGTCTCTATTGTCTGATAGCAAACTTGCTTATCAGGAAGTAACACCTAAAAATAAAAACTATTTAAAAAAAAATAAATTAAGTTGGTTACAACTGCTACAGTGTCCTATGGGTACTGCAGGGTAATACTTTTAGCAACACAAAGAAGTACCATAGTCTGTAAATTACATTAATAACATTAAATTATAATTTAATGTCATATGAGTACTGGATACGTTGGAACTATTGAGATAATATGAAAACAATATGAAATAATAGGAACTAAACCTGGCCTATATTAATTTATAAACAAATAAAAAAAATCTAAAACCAGGGTATTTTTTATGTTAATTTGATCTCTAGAAGGAATTTTCGGATGTCAATAGACAAACTCTTTCGAAACTCTTTCTTATAATCCTCTTAGCAGTTCTCATGTTGAAAATTCGTGGAGTAATACCTTAGCATTCTAATAGTATATCATGTAATGCTCTCAAACCACCTTCATTTTCTGTTTTGTTTTGTTTTTTAAGAAAGCTTAGGATGATACTAAGTAACATTTTGGATTTTGCATTACCTACAGTCAGAATGGCTAAGTTACACCTGTGAAGTTTTAAATTAACTTGAAAAAACAAATCTTGAATTTTCAAGCTTTTATGTTAAAAAAAAAAATATGTATGAACTCCACCAGTTTTGCTGTTGCTGAGTGACAAGAAACGTGGGGACACAAGGCTAAGCTATTATAAAAAAAGCTGTTTTCATAAGTATTGTTAAGTTGCCAAATCTGATAGACCAGCAGTCTCTTTACGCACAGGTGGCCCTTTCATCCCAATATTCCTCCTTTTACACACAGGTGGCCCTTTCATCCCAATATTCCTCCTTTTACACATAGGTGGCCCTTTCATCCCAATATTCCTCCTTTTTCTCACTTTCTCCTTCGGAAAACACCTTTATTCCCTTCCTTTCCCCATCTTTGATTCCTCACCTGATTCCAAGATGCTATTCCCCTGCATCCTGTAATGTCTTCCATGCCCTGTGGGCAGTAACCTCCCTGGGTCTGTAAGGTGCCCTGGAGCCCCCACAACTGGTGGGTTTCATGTCCCAGCAGCGGGGCTGGCTGGTGGCCCTCTGGGCTCCTTTGCCCGTGTGGAGATGAGCCTGTTGTCACATAACCTAACAAATACTGTCTAATACGTTCTACTGTATGAGACTTTGCTTAATTATCTAAAATTCTGTTACCAAAACCACGTGAAATGTTTCACGTAACCTACTGCTGTTCAAAATTATCTCACTTTTCAGAAATTGGGATGCTATTGAGGGGGGAAAAAAAACCCACTTATTAAAGTGTTCCAGCCTCAGAACGCCCTTTACATGGGATAAATGGCGTTCCTTCATGTATAAATGTTCATAATTAGTAGAATATGTTTTCTTGTAATTTCCTTTGAAATCTTTTAGTCATTCTTTGAAGAAAAGCAAATTTTTATCTTTTTTTAACTCCATGATTTTAATCAGTTCGACAGTGCTAAGAATGGATCTGCAAGATACTCAGTCCCTGTATGTCAACACTTGGCATGTTCCATGATTTTAATCAGTTCGACAGTGCTAAGGATAGATCTGCAAGATACTTAGTCCCTGTATGTCAACACTTTGCATGAATTTGAGTGCAGGCTGCTTTTGTGCCTTGTTTTTAATATGCAATTACACTAACTAGCTACTTTGATTTTTTTCAGAAAGCATATAAATTTGTGCCATCACCCTTTCAGACCTAGAATAGCAGTACAATTCTAACACTCTCCATAGAATGCATGTATAAACGTTTTCTGGGAGAAGGTGTAATAAAGTCACATATCAGAGAGAGCTGTCTTACTGTAAGCACATTTTAGTATTTATCTGTTATTTCTAAACTTTGTAGTGAAGTGACATACACAGATTAGACTTATAGGGCATATTTTTTAAAAAAAACAAATGTGTATATGCATATATCTGTATTTTCCATTTCCATACAGAAACTTTATCTAGTGGAAAACTATTTCAGTCCTGAGATGCAGGTGGTTTGTATACCTTTACTTGAAAAAGTTCCTCCTTATTGTTACGAAGTGGTAGTAGGGTGTATCACGTTCTCACTGGTATTATGCCAGGTAAGATTTGTGTGTGTGTCTCCTTAAGCAAAGACAAGCACCAAGTACCACGAAAAGGAGTATGTAAGCAGCTTAAGAAGCTGAATTTGTTTAAACAGCAGTGTTATCTGAATTACCTACAGACAGGCAAACACAATATAGTGCTTAATATAGTCTTTAGTAGTAAGATTTTATTTTTTTGTTTATTTATTAGTTTTACATTTTTTGTGAAATGTGAACACTGGCTTAAGCCAAGTTTGTGTTAACCGAGATAAGGTCGGTTATTGTTTCACGTATCAGGTTTTTTTACCCAGCAATTGAAGTATGGCTTATTATTCCAATCCTGTAGTTAGAATTTTCTGTGGTGTTTCTGTTGTAGGTGATAAACATAAGGATTTAAGATTTTTGACTTCTTTATCTTTTAAGATTGAAGATGCTGTTATATAGTGGTATTAATTTTCTAAATTTTCTTCTTAGGGTCATGCTTACAGTGAATCTCATAGTTCAAAGAAGAAAGCTGCTTATTCCCATAAAGATTTATTGGTTAGTTTTCTACTATAGTATTTATTACAAGTATACTAACTCTGTAGAGTTATGTACTGACGCAGTTATGGATAAATGTATTAGCTTGCTAATATAAATAAATGCATGTGTGTATATATATACACATAAATGTTTTCAGGAAAAAATAAACTTCTGGTATTGACCAAATTCTGACCTGAAATTGAGTGTTTGAAACTGTGCTTATGGCAGTGGAATCCCCTGAATGGAATCAGCTGAATAGAAATCACGTTCTATTGGAGGCTTGGGGAAGACTCTTGGAAATGTTTACCAGTGATGCTTCTCTGAATTAAAGTTTATTCAGTCAAGACGGAGATACATGTTCTATTATTTACACTTTGTCTCCTATCAGGGATATTTTAAATGTAGGTGTAAAGCAGATTGAACTTACCATAAACCTTGACGTTAACCCAGTGAACTGTTGAGATCTGTTGTGATCTTCCAGCAACTGCTCTAGACAGTTCAGTCTGTAACATATATGAATATAGTGCCAAGAAATTAAGTATTTTGGATGTAATTTTTCAGAGGGTTTTGGCACCTTGTTCCCTCAGTTCTTAAATAAATGAATAATGTGAATCTTTCTGGCTACTGAGATGCCAAGGGCTACATTCTGAAAGCACTACTTTTTGCCATGTCTTCATCTTTGTTTTTCCTTCTTTATAGGTGTATATCAATTTTTTCCTTGCATGTGCATATATATGCAATTTGGGTAGGAAGTGTCAAAGCACAGTGGAAATAGGCCAAAGCATAATTGCTAGGCTTTCAGCATGCAAGCTTGGTGTAAAGAACAGTGGTAGGGTACAGGCTAAAGCTCATCACATAAACATCCGTCCCCTATTAAATTCTTAGGAATTTCTGTCCTTCTTTCTCCCCAAATGCTGTGATTCAGGATGATATCTAATGAAAAAAAAAATCAAGCAAGTCATTGTACTCATTGCTAGCAAGTTTTGTCAAATATGTTTTTCATATATTTCATACTGTACTTGTCAGGGTTTAGATAAAATTTCAGGGTTTCCTTATTTATTAGGGAGGAAAAAAAAGTATTTACCACTTTGGTTGGACATGGCATTAAAAATACAGATAATGCTCATATACAGAGGACATAGGTAGTTTTGGGGGTTTTTACACTTTACTTCAGAAAGTTATATGGATTTTGGGTCAACCATAGAGAAAATTTTTACAGCATTCTCTACAAGTTTTAAACTTGGGAACGTTTGGGCAATGTTGAGATAGAACTTTTATTTACAAGATCTACAGATGCGACCTTTGTTTTCTCTTCTCTTTTTTCCTTCCACAGACTGGAATTTACTATGATCAAAGAAATTATAGCAGCCTTAGATATAGTAAACCAGTTCCTTCCTACCATACTCGGGTCTGTCTCCACTTCCTATATTAAGTTTTTTCATGTGTATAAAGTACATATACTTGGGTTTGCTTACTTACACTATGTGAAGCAAAATTCTTTCTTTCCTTCTATAACACTGCAAATTATTACAGCTAATAGTAGTTACAATTGTATTTCTTGCTTTTAAGGGTTGCCTTTTATAAAATGAATGGATAACATGCAAGTTACTGTATTCTACGTATGTGGGATTTTAAATTTAAAATAACTTCTATTTCATGATTGCAGTATGATATAAAGAAAACAACTAGCAGCTGTGATACTTGCTTCTTCAAAGTTCTGTTTTTAAAAAGCAACAACAAAAAGTCTTAAAAGCTTAGCACCAATGTACTACTTTCCACAGCAATATAAATGATGAATCAGTGTTCTGTCATGAGATTGCTAGTACCTTCCAGTACTTGCAGCTACAGTCATGGTCAGGTTTAAGTAAGTCACAAGAAGAAATTGATGTCTTTTGAAAACTACTTAATTTCTTATTTGCTTGTACAAATCTTCTGATAAAAATCCTAGATTGCTTTAATGCTTTGGATTATGATTTCAAAGATAATGGGTTTTCTTGGAGTGTTTATCCTCACTTTTCTCAAAGTTCTTGTCTATCATACACTTAAAATTTAGTATTTCAATCTTTAGAACTTTCTAGGAGTATAAAGCAGTAGATAAAATTTAATGCATGCGGAAAAAGTGTTTCTGACTTTTTCTATTCTTCACACTACAGTCATCTTCTCTATACAGTGATCCAGTGGCAACAACTAGAAGTTACAGGGTTAGTACAATGTAAAATAAAATCTTGCTTATCTTCAGATGTTTGAACGGCCTTCAGAAATCTAAAATTACACTTTTCTTCATAGGTGTCTCCTTCTGTAAACACTGGTTTGATAAGAAGTATCAGTTTGGTTCGTAAGCACCATTTGCATGGTTGCCTTAAATTTGTATTGTATGGCCATGAGGCTTGACAGCATCATACGTGCCTTTTTTTTTTTTTTCATATTTTTAAATAAAGCTGCAGCTTGTGTGTTTCATTTTGTGGAGGCATTCAATTTAATGTCTTTAACATTGTTAAATTGCCTCTTCAAAGTATTTTAGGTGTTGCTGCATTACTGATCATCTTACAGACAAGCAAAAGTTTATGAATACAACAATGATGTTGAAGAACACTGAGGTTACGACAGGTTAATCCAAGCATACTAAACAACTGCATGTATAATGCTAGAAAAAGTATTTAAAGAATTTAAGCATTTGAGTGGGCAAAATCATTGTCAGGAGATGACAGAAATTTGTGATAGATACACTTCAAATATTTTCAAATAAGATGCCATACTTAAATATAACAATAGAAAAATGTAATAGGATGAAAACCTAATCTGCATCTTAAAAAAAAATAAAATAGTAGCTGCAATTGCTGTAAGAATGACTAAGATAGCGACATGCATGCCTGAAACTATGCCTTTTACCGCTGCAATAGTTCAAATCCAACTTACACTGCCGTTTAGAGGCATGCTAAATCTATGGAAAGTCGTGAAGTTTTCTTACGGAATATTTTTATGTAGTTAGTGAGGGCTTGTTCTGTGCTGGGATTACAAACACAGATAACTAACTTTTTTGGCTTTGTGCATATTCTTGAGAAAACATTTGAAGATCCAGTGAGAGAGCAAGACCATAATGACTGCTATTACATATAATTCTAATAGATATATATAATTCTAATTTCTACTAGAGATCCCTTCAAAGGTAAAAGGAAAGCAGCATGAGACTGTAATTTTTTTTTTTAAATTCTGTTGCCTAGTGCTGCTTTTTTTTTAAATTGTGTTGCCTAGTGCTGCTTTTTTTATCCTCTGCATAAATAGATTTCAGCCTTGCACCTTGAAACCTGCTTTTTTTATCCTCTGCATAAATAGATTTAGGTTCTCTTTTAGGAAAACCTGAATGGGTGAGCACGAAATAAATTGATAAGTGCACAATATAGCTTCAGTTCCCAGGGCGGATTAAAACTTTGGAAGGCTTCAGAACAGTAAAAACCAAATTGCAATTCAAATATTTAGTTGCGTTTTCTTCTGAAAATAGTTAAGACTTGATATTTTAAAAAATTTGTCTATTTTTCAAGGAAATTCTTGGATGTCTATTTCCAGATATAAATCTCCAATATATAATAGTAAGAGGAAATTTTTATAATTTGTTTATTCTTTCAAAAAGTATAATGTCAATTGGCAAATGCATAGATGGGATAAGCTAGAGTACATTACAGTGCATAAAAATTACAATGTATGAGAGGCATAGTTACTTCTGAGACAGAATATAAATGGTATTTCATTCCCTCTTTCTCAGGCATCTTTGTGTGGCGATGGATTGCATAGCTCATATAGTTCTCGCACTGTAAGTGTAATAGGCTTTTGGTTGGTTTTCATATCTTTGTTTTCTGGTGACAAAAATCTATGAAAATGGTGAAAATTGCCTTCATAACTTTCCTTTAGCCATCCGAATACAGTTATTCTTCAAGAGCAAGCTCAGTTCGAAGTAGTCCTGTGGTGAGCATTCCTCTTGCATGGTTTGCTGAATGCTTTGATACTAACACACAACATTTATGAGTGTTCACACTGGGGATCATCTTACTGACCGATATGCAGACTGGATTTTTTAGTTCTGCATCAAAAAAATGTAGTTTGTCAGAGATGTGATTTTTAGCAAGATGTAAAGTTTTAGGAGTGAGTCAGTCAAGTGTGGAAGCAGTAAGGAATTTGTTTTTTCTAAATATCTTTTAAATGTTTCTCATGTATATAAATGGAAGCCAATGGAAACTGGAGTATAGTATGTTGTTGGGGTTACCACCTTATGTCATAGTTGGGACAGGCACATGAAACTGTTACTATAATATATGTGAGGAAACCTTTCTTTTGAGCAAGAGGACTCATGCAAACTTTGTTGTATCATGCAGTTAGAAGTAGGTGGCTCATTTTTATAGTGACTGGAATTGAAAATTGAGAGAAATTTGTTCCTGGATCTGCATTGTGTTAAAAGTGTCATTCCAAAGATGGCTTTTTTTGCTGCAAAGTGATTTTTAAATAGTACTGCTCTGTTTCTGCCGCAGAACAACTGTCTTAGTTTCATTGGTACAGCTGCTCATTTATCATGCTACACAAAAAAGTAGATCAGTGATCTAGTATGAGTTAAATTGAAATGTCTGATCCTTTTTTAATTTTTCACATATTCTTAACAATGTTATAGAGACTAAAAAAAAGAACAGATTTGTCAGAAACTGAGTGTTTTCAGCTACAACAGATGTGAGAGTTAATTTTTGAGGATGTAGGAAAAAACGCAATTTTGCTGTTGCTTAATGAAGTTCCAAAACCTCAGAGGTACTAACATCTATCTGTGAAGTCTCTTGATTTGTGAAAATAATACTTGGCATCTTAGTTTCTCACAGCAAGTGTTAAGATTCATTTATTGAAAGCAAATTGTACGTAGAAATATATATCAGATCTCATTATGTATCTGTGATTCCAATGATGCCAAGGTACCATACACTCACACTAGTGGATGTTTAATAGAATTCAAAGTATTTGTTTAATGAAATCTGAAAAGCAGGTGAAGTTAAAATCTTACTTGTAACTTAACTTTCACTTTCTACTGTATCCATGGTTAATATTTTGATTTCACTCTGGGTAGTGCATTGGAAGTCAGCTTCAGTACTCGCTGGAAATCAAAAGAAAAAGTAGGAGAGAAGATGGAAACAGAGTAGAAAACACTGGTGAAAAACTGTACGGTGCATCTCCATCTTAAACTGTAATGGTTTTGATAAACCCATTGAGAAAGATATGGGAAGTACAAAAGGTGTATAAGGAGGAACAGTAAGGTTGATCGGACATATGGGATTTTCAACAGCAAAGATAAGTTAGTTTGGAATGAAAGAGAACCATGTTGTCATAGATTATAGTCCTGCAGTTGTTTGCTATGAGCATAATTCATAGAAGCAGAATTCTGTTCAGCATCTTGATACTGTGTGAAATACAAGTGAAATAAGAAAGTTTATCCAAATTTCTAACTATGAAAATTTATTTACCTCATTATTTGAAAAAAATAAAGATGCTATTTAAAACATAGATGTAGATCTAGCTGGAAAACTCTTTGTCAGAGAAGTAGAACATAACCTAGCAGTGCCAAAAAAAACAAGTTCTGTAGTTCTAAACATGCATAATCTGAGACAGGTGTTCATCTGTGAACTATTTTATGTGTAACTGGTCACATTTGTGTAAAAGATATCACTGTCTTTTAATCAGAATAAGATAAGGCTACATCACTCATGTATATCAAGTACAAATAAATTAAGAATTATTTTTTTAAACAAGGAAAATTTCATATTTTCAAACTGTTTTAAAAGTGATTGTATGAGAAAACATCTTGAAGTATAATGTTCACAGTAGCTTTCTACATTTTGAACTAGAATGTTATCAATACAACACTTGTGATAAACCTACTCTTCTCATTAAATACTGTTTAATGTGCATAATGTTTTCTCAGTTAAATATTTCACTTGCATTTCCATGGCAGTTGTAATTACTGTAATGTGGTTAATATATTTTGCCTTTTTTACCAGTTAGTTGTAGCACTGGCATTTTTTCCTCACCTTTTTAGGTGCCTGTCTGACATGCAGCTTTGGGGAGTAAGCTTGTCTTCTCTTATAAGGTCTCTTAAAAATGGTGAATTAGAGGAAGCCCAGATCATATTCGGAATTAATAGTGTTGGGATTGTGCTGATTTGAAGAAAATACAACATTTGTAGAGAAAAATAATAACTTTTATTTATCAACTTCTGATTATATAATCTGTTTTCTAATCTAGAAACCTTTTTTAAAAAAGGGTAATTTTTCTAGCTTGTGTTCACTCTATATTAGTACTAAAGTCTTTTGTAGCTCTATACCTTTTTTATATTACTCCAAATGAGGAAAATGAATCAATAATAAATGTTCATTGCTTTTACTTTTAGACACTGTAAGCTGTAAGAATAATAAACATGTGAAGAGTGTGTTTAAAAACATTACATGTGCTGACTAAAGTATTCCTATCAGTGTGGCACATTTTATTCATATAGACACATTTAAAATAGCAAAAATTTAGAAGAGTTATAAACATCTTACAGCAGTTAAACTATTAGAAAAGCTAAAATTGCTAAATTGCAATAATGGAGATTTAAGTTAGGATTTCCTGTTTACACATTTAAAATAGCAAAAATTTAGAAGAGTAATAAACATCTTAAAGCAGTTAAACTATTAGAAAAGCTAGAATAAATTGCAGTAATGGAGATTTAAGTTAGGATTTCCTGTTCGTTTTTCTTTTTAAATAAACTTTTGTTAGTTCTGTGGTATCCTCTTCAGTTCGCTTTCACTCTTCTCCTTATCAGTCCTCTGATTTTTCTGATCGAAGTGAAACCGCTGCTGACTATTTCAGTCGTTCCAACCGCAGGGGAAGCATTGTTTCCGATGCAGATGATGTCCAAGGTTTGAATAGTGTGAGTGTAATGCTGCTTGTTACACTGTGGTGAATACAGCAAACTTACTAACCATGGATTTTCTTTTCATCCTCTGAAAGAGTAGATAACTGTAAAAGCATTCAGAGTTATTTAGTGGCAGATAGGTTTGTTGAGGGATTGGGGCTGGCTTTTGTATAAAAATGTCTGGAGTCTGAATTTTTTTGAAAGCATGCTGCTTGATTTTTAAAGGGGATTTTGCCTGTTGCTGGAGGCATGTAACAAGTGTTAACACTTCACGTTGTGCATGTATGTGATGAGTTTAAGCATCTCTTGAATGCAAAACATGGTGGGTTTTTTTTTTTCCTCATAGGAATTAACAATATCTAGGGGTTTTTTTGTGTAGTTTTGGAATACTACTGTTTGGTTTAGTGACTAAATACTTATAACTGTGCCCTTGTTAGTGCATTTTAGTGTTTGTTCATCCATGATGAGATTTTGTCAGGACCTGTTACTGGAACATTCGTTGTTGGCTATGCTCGTACTGAAACCCAAGCCAATAGGGCATGTTACAGGAAAATTATCATGATGGTTTTCCCTGGGCCTCCCTTTAGTCTGAACATTGTTTACCCCAAACCCATCTGCCTTCTCTTTATTGCTGCTCTAAGTTCTAGAAATCCTTGTTACTTGCAGTCAAAACTTTCGTGTTTAATAGTGGGGAAGAAAATAGGGAAATTCTTGGTCTTGGGCATGTCTTTGAAATAACAGGGTTAGCACATGCAGTAGGAAGAGAGGTTGAGACAACTGGGCTTATTTATTTGGGCAAAGCGGATGCTATGTGGTGATGAGCAGCCAGCAACTGCTTCATTAGGTAAGATGCAGACTCTTTGTACCTGTGCCAAGCAGAGGAACAAGGGGCAGCAGCCTCACGCTGCAGCTCAGGAGGTTCAGACTAGACACCGCAAGAAGCGCTGGAAGAAGGTTAGCATTGCACTCTGGTTACAGCAAGGGCGAAGAACCTCCAGTCTCAGAAGCTGCATAAAGCCACAGCCACCCTGGACTGTTGGCAGCAGTTGTGCTTTGGATGGGAGGCTGGACGAGGTGACAGGTAGCGTACCCCTACGTCCACTGTTTCTGTGATTCTGCGTTTAGATGATTTAGTGCCCTTACGGTGCTATGTAACCTGTAGTGTAACAATGCACGGTGTTTATGGTCTGTACGTGCTCAGAGCATGAGACCCTCATCTTTTTCCAGTTGAAATTTTAGCTTTTTTCTCTCTAACAGACCTGTTTTTCTGAAAGTAGTGCTCTGCTAACAGAAAACGTGGAGGCTGAGACTGGCAATTATGCCACCTTCTCAGTTGCTTTTATTATCATCATCATTATTATGTATTATTAGATTCCAAATTTATATTTTTAAGTTATTCTAAAGGGATGCTTCAGATCGATTGGATTCTTCACTTCATTTTCTCATCTAAGTAGTGACAAATATCTGCAATTTACAATTTCAGTACATCATTGGAGATGGTGAATCTGCTATAAACGTGGAATGTTGCTTCTGCAGAAACCACAATAGAAGGAAAAAGAATGATCTCATAAAGTAACATTTGTTTCTACTGTGATTGTAGCAGACTTCCAAATCGCTTGCCCCGGCCTGGGAGAAAAGCAGATGTTCTCGGAGAAGCAAGATATTTGAAATACTATACTCAATATATATTCATACTTGTTTTTGAAATATTGCAATGTGTTAAGGTCTTTATTTAATTCCACCTATTTTGATTCAAATAAATGTAGAAAATGTGGAAATCTGCCATGTAATTTTGCAATATCAGTCTCCTAAATAAGAAAGGGGGGTGGTAGTTCTTTTGCTTAGACTTCAATACATAAAATATGAGTTGAAATGATTTTGTAGGTTGCTGTTAACTGGTACACTTTAGTTATGGGCTTTTACCTGAATTGGTTTTGTTCTGATGTAATTGCAGGTTTCACCAAAGAGATGGAATGAACAAATGTGTTTTCTGATAACTAGGACATTCACCCTGGTGTCACTGATTGTCTGAAGTGCACTTGCATGAAGCTTCATGTTTGTTATGCCACTAAGTGTTGTAGTCACTACCCTGTTGAAATTTGAAATAGTGAAACATGTTTTGTTGTTCAGTACTTTAATATTGGTAATGACTTTTTTAAAACTTTAAAAAAAAGTTTATGGCTTTTTCTTTGCAAACATTCATTTATTTTGCAATTGAGGTAAAAAAACTACATTTCAGGCTGAATATTTTTTTTCTGTCTTGATCTAGGCTAACTTTTGGGGGTTTTTTTTATTGTTTCATTTTTTGTTCTTAAATATTTCTCAGTATCTTTGAACAGAAGACGGTGAGTCAGTAGTCCGTTATTGCAAAAGGTGTATTGTGATCACTTTCCCTTTTCTCTTTCAGCTGGAAGAAAAGAATGAAAAATCACATTCAGAAATATTTTCAAGGGTAAGAGTTTTTCATTTAAAAATAATTGAAAGTCAGTGTTCATCCACAAACTTACAAATATTAAAATAATTCAAAATTATAAATGCTGTGGTTTTTAGTAGGGTGTATTTTTAGGGGTTTTTTAAGAGCTTGCAAAGAGACATTTTCAGATGTATTTTTTTGTCTCCAAAATTAATGCTTTGTGTCTTTTATCTCCCAAGGAAAAAATTTCATTCTTTAGTTTACTTTTAGCAAGTATTAGTTTCTTATAGAATATATTTTCTGTGTGAGAAATACTTAACAGGGTAAGGTTGAATTTTTAGAGATTAGGACTATAAAAATGCATATGCTAGATTTCACTGGAGACTTTATTCTGAATCATAAGTGACAGAAATCTATAATTTTTAGATATATTTTAAACTGTTACAGTTTTTCAGCACTAACAGCCTCCTTATGAAAGTCTTCTCAACAGATGACTCAAAACTATAATGTTATGATAACTGATAAGTCATCAAAGAGAAACCAACATTTCACCAAGAAGTATAAGTGCTGGGAAATAATAAATGGAAAATATTGTCTATTAGCTAATACTAAGAAGTGTAAGACAATGAGAGAAGAGTCTTCTATGACTGAAGAAATTTATAGAGTAATGTCAAATATACCAGAAATGACGATATGATTCCTGATACAAAGTTGTTTCCTTTTTAAGCCATCATCTCGGAATTCAGTAAGTGCAACTCCTCTGAGTGGCAACTCATCTAGGAGAGGAAGTGGAGACACGAGCAGTTTGGTGGATCCTGATGCCTCCCTCAGTGAATTACGGGTAAATTGTGTTTTCAGAGAATTTGGAGCTAGTTCTAAACTGTATTTGTGGTTAGAAGGAGTTTTTCTTTGCTACAGAACTTCTGGATTCTTAATAGTAAGAAAGAGTTATGAGAACGTAATTTTCAATCACAAGAGATTTCTGTGTTTATCTTGGTAATTGCATTTATTGTGTTCATAAATGTATGTGGTGCTAACAGTTTAGTTTATATTAAGATAAGACTTTATGTTAAATTTGAAACAATTCTGTCCTATTTGAGATGGCTTGGATTCAGGCATATAAACCAAATCTTAATTTCCATCAAGTTGTTGTGAATTAATTATAATTTCTGTGAATTCTTGCAGGCTTTGGCATTTGACAGAAATGCATGTAAACCTTTTAATGCTTTTTTGACTATAAATTATTTCCCCATACTTCTTATGCAATGGTTCATTCCTATGTCCTGCAGGATATCTATGATCTTAAGGACCAGATACACGATGTAGAAGGGAGATACATGCAGGGACTTAAAGAACTAAAGGTATCAGGGCTCCTCCCAAGCATGCATTCTGTATGGGTATTTTTGGGTAATGGAGATACCACTGGTTCCACTAACTATATAAGGCTTTACTAACAAGTTTTTCAATTTCTTCAAAGCATGTATCTAACTTTTAATGCATAGAGAGCATCAGCTTAAATTTGTTGTATGAGTGAATTATTAAGATATGATTTTAATGTACATGAGAGTATATGTTCATTATTTGGTTTATGTTAAAATAGTGTTAAACTTCCATGGTTTTAGCACGCGTTTTCTAGTAAGATTGAGAGGTTCAGTTCATATTTTTTAGAGTTTTGTTAGCAAATAAATAGATATTAAAAGCAATTACTATGTATTGAATAGGGAAGAAAGAAATGGGACATAGCTATGACAAAGAAGTTAAGAATTAGTCTTCCAAGTTTCAACAAATACTGCATCTTATAAAGCAGAACTAAAGTAATAATTTTGAAAGATCTGCTGAAGTGAATCTGGGCAGGCATATTGCTTGCAGGAGAAGATAATTTTGTTGTAATCCTTTACCATTAAGAAAGAAACTTTTGTAATGCTTGTGGCTTACATTCCCGTTACCTTTGTCTAAATTATAGGTTGGTATTTTCAGCATTAGGTTAATGAGATTTGCCTGTATTTTGACTTGTTTAAATAGCGTGTATGCTTTTATTTTGTAATTTTTCATACAATTAACAGTTTGCAGTTAATCTAAATATGATTATTTTCCCCTTTCCTATGTTGAAGGGAAACTGACTATAGCAAATGATGTGACTTACAGATCTTTTTCAGGTAAATATGATTATTTTCCCCTTTCCTATGTTGGAGGGAAACTGGCTATAGCAAATGGTGTGACTTACAAATCTTTTTCAGGATATTTGTTCTGTTCTCTTTCCTGTTATCTAATTGTGAATGGTTCCATGTAAAAGAAAAGAGATCCTTCCTTATTTGTTTCATATCCATATAGAGACTGAACGTAAAAGAAAAGAGATCCTTCCTTATTTGTTTTATATCCATGTAGAGACTGAATTTAATGAACGTTGCTTGTACTAGAGCATTTAACAATGATGTATTTAACAGCTTCCTTGAATTTCCTAGATTAAACAACATACTAGATGGTATGGTAAAGAGAAAATATGTAGTTTGAGCTGTTCGGTGTAGCAAAAATTATTTCCTCTTTAGAGGATAAGTAACTCTGAATCTGATAGCCATATGCTCAGATGAAGTACATCTTGTTTTAATCGTATTGCCATATGAATATTAAAAAGACTTCAAAGAGCAGTAGATTACAAGATTGTTAGACATAGCTATGATTGTACTCAATTTGAATAAAATGAGCTTGCTCCGTATTTTCAGAACGGATCTAACTCTCACGCTTTTGCATGTTTGCCAGCATCTCGTGACTACTGTTGTGAATCATTACTACTGCACTATTATTCAGTGTAGTCCATTACAGTTACCAAAGGTGTGCAATAGACAATAAGATCTTGATCTATGCTTGGCTTACAAAGTTCAGTTTTATGCTGTTGTTAGTACCGAATAATGTGTTCCTAAGTTAATTTGCCTTCCCTAGAGATTCTTTCGGGAACTTTTCTTTCTAATTAGGAAGGTATTGACTTTTTCTCAACTTCTGCTTTGGCAGTTCTATCTCAGGTATGTCAGAGGAGTTACTAGGATATCTGTTTTTACACCTGCTTGAAGTGTTTTTCAGGGATTGAGTAAAAGTGGTTTGTAATCACACTAACTTCCTACCTCTGTGATTGCCCATCCCTTCTGCTGCTAATTGTGGTTTTTACCTGGCTGCAAATCTGCTGATTGTCAGCAGAATGAACTCTAGTGTGGATAGTTCCAGTTTGGTTAGGTCTTTGAATCTTTTTGTGTCTTAGTTTGATTCAATTTTGTCGATTCTTTCTGTATTCCCTTGCATCAACTAGAAAGGAATCCTTTCTCTGTCCTCAGTTTTTCTTTCATGCAGTTAACAGACCACCCTCTTTGTCTGCTGTTCAATCATCCTGTTCTAGCCAAGCAGGCTAATTTGCACAGCCCTTTCACTTTACTGATGTAGTTGTGGGTGATATTTCTTCATAGCTCTAGGTTATGTGCAGTGTCTTATTATACACTTTCATTCCAGCCTGTTCCCACTGCTTCATCCTTAGCCATCTCACTGCCTCATTCAAGTGTTTCAGAAATTCTTCCATATCCATGTTATTTCTCACCAAACTGCTAGATTACTGAAACTACATGGAATTCTTGAACCATGTGTAATACTGAAAAAAACCCCACAAAACAACAAAGAAAACAGTTCCAAAGAAGTCTTACCAATATTCCAGTTTTTTTGACTGGTCAGAGACTCTTACGCATAGCTTTGTTTCTTTCTTGGAAGCAATTCTCACTCTTCTTTCTCAAAATCAATTTATTCCTCTTCCATAACTGTGGATTCCCCACCTCCCCCACCCCCCCCTTAACTCGTTGATTAATGACATTTTAATCCAATCTTTTAAGCCCCAACCTAGTCTCCTCTTTAAGGCTGGAGTCCTGGAGCCACGTGGTGTACAATAAGAGGCTGAGGCAACTGAATTGGATAAGTCTTGAGGGAGTGGGCAGCAGTATGCCTGCTGGTTTTGGCTGCCCGATAGGAGGCTGTAGAGAAGACAGGGCAGCCTCCTTGCAGAAGTGCACAGTGACAGGGCAAGATATCTGCCACAGACAAAAGTTGCATTGTAAGGGCAGAAATTCCAACTAGACCTTAAGAAAAAAGACTTTTCACAAGGGAGGCAGTTGAATCATCCAGTCAGGTTCTGCAGTCTACATCCCTGGAGATACTTAAAATGATCTTGAGACAAGCTGTGAGCAGCCTGATCTTGGTTGGCCCTGTTTAATTAGGAGATGCAACCAGATGGCATCCAGAGATTTCTGCCAACCTAAATTACTACATGACTCTACTCATCACACTCACAGAAACAATCAAATTGGATTTTTTTCCTAGTTGCACTTTTTGATAAATTTTTAATCTCCTCATAAAAGGACAATCTTAAGAATTACTAGAATTCACTTACATATATTCATTATTTTTTTTCGTTATTTTATTCTCACTTATCCTGAGTCTTCTTTGCTGTTTGCAATTTACTACTTCCCAAATGATAATTTTTCACCTCTTACACTATCTTGTCTCTTCTGATCTCTAGACTATCAAGATATGTCTTAAGTTATTTTTTCTGGGGTTTCTAAAATACTGTATTTCTCCAGCACAAAATTCCATAATTCAGTAAATGGAACAGAGGTGTAAATACATGTGATTATGATAAAATTATAAACGGTAATATATATGCTTTGAGGAAAGCTTTCTCAAAATGGAGATTTATAACATGGAATAATAGCATTTGGGTGTTGAGCTTTTTTTTGTTTTTCTTATAATGGAATATTGAAGTGTGACTTGGTATCTCTAAAGAGAAAACACAAATATAATTCAGGAACAAAAACAGTTGCATAATTTTACTATATAACAGATATCACTCTTCAGCTTTTTCTTAAGAAACTTAGATTGTTACCACCTTCTCCCCAGATATCTTAGACCTTAGTCCTACTGTTCTGTTTTCTGGAAAACCCAAGCCTGGTGCCCTTTCTGTGCTAGTACTTCTACTGTCATAATACAAATAATTCAAAATTGAGGCTATGCTACTTGTCCCTTCAAAGAAGAGATTACATGAAATACTAGGGGATTTGTAGCAGGGCACAGATCTACTTTGGAAAGGGAATGGCTTATTAGTTCTTTTTCAATTCTAAAATTAGGGCTCTGAAACTCAATTTTTTGTATTTTTAAAAGAATGCATATTGAAATCATTGCATGTTTAGAAGTGCCTGGAGTGACAGTTGTTCTAGTATTTGAATAGCTGACATTTGTTACAATACTGAGGAAAAAAAAAAGGTATAATTATTTTTGTGAAGTGTGAAAGAATCGCATAAGAGGGTATATAGCAAGGCATATGTGCACCTTCAGGTGGAGAATCAAGCATGTGAATCCTTACATGCATTTTTTTTCTGAGATCTTAGTAAGAAATAAAAGACAAAATGTCTGCTTAAACAGAGAATCGTTATTACTGAAAAAATGTGACTACCTTAAAACTTTGAATCTAAGGTAACAGAGCACTACTTAAACAGTGAGCGTTAAGTTAACGCTACTCTGAAAGATATTTCTGTGATTCTTCTTGTCGTTTAATTGTCTGAGTTCTCTGTCAGATTTGTTGCCTCATTCTGAAGTGTTTTCTTGTGCATGCACTGAAAATACCATAAAGTTGTGATTTTGTTACTTGATCCCTGTGAGTTAAGTTGTCAAGGTGACAGAATAGAAAATGCAAGTGGACTATGATCTCGTAATTTTCATACTTTTGTAATGATAACTTTTCATTGCTGTGTATGACCTAACCTGAATAATGGCAATTGGGCTGTGCCTTGGTGTCTCTAAAGTGAAGACACGAATATAATTCAGAAACAAAAATGAAAACAAAACCAGATAGCACTCTTCAGCATTATGATGATGTTCTAACATTATAACCAGGCATCAAAAAGTTAGACTAATGTTAAGCCTTTCTACTACCTGTAGGATTCCCTGGCTGAAGTTGAAGAGAAGTACAAGAAGGCCATGGTTTCCAATGCTCAACTAGACAATGAGAAAAACAACCTGGTTTACCAGGTGGATACTCTAAAGGACGTCATTGAGGAGAAAGAAGAACAAATAGCAGAGTTCTATAGGGAGAATGAAGACAAGTCAAAGGTACAGATTTTTAAGACTTATTTTTTTCTTAATTATAAAGCTAGACCATAGAATCCTGGACTAATTGGTAAGAACAGTTAAAAACTTTTGCTTTAGTAGAAAAGTGTCTATCTCAGTGGCCAAAGATGTTTTGAACATTGTGTTAGTTTTTTAAAAAAAAACAACAATACACCACCCCCAGAAAAAAAGTTATTTAATGCAAACACTAAAGATAAAATACGCGTTTAAATTGAATAGGACATGTTCAGTCCTGCTTACTTGGAAAGGGAAGATCTATGTGGCAGTTTTTTCCAGTGATATTCAGATAAATTCAGTATCTGAGCTTTTCTCATTAATATTGGGCTTAAGCCTTTTTGGCATCTTTTCTCACTACTCTAAATTTTATTAAATCAAATCTTCTGCATAGCGAGTATCTAGAGGACTTACCTAAAACACTGATTCTGTGAGTTTAACCACTTGGTAGGTAGAATTTCTCAAAATTGTTGCAGTAATTTCTTAGATAACATTACGTTAAGTGATATTGCTAAGTTTGTTTAAACTTGATATTGAAAATGAGTGTCAAACACACAAAAAAATTAATGATGTATTTAATATAGGAATTGGAAAGACAGAAACACACATGCAGTGTTCTGCAGCATAAGCTGGATGAACTTAAAGAGGCCCTTCGACAGAGAGATGAATTGATAGAGGTATGTTCATATGAGTGTATGACTTGAGCAAATAAACATGGTGTAAGATTTGAATGGGAACAGCCGTTGTAGTCAAAATGAGCTTAAAAATTTATTTGATAGAGGTATGTTCATATGAGTGTATGACAGAACTTGAGCAAATAAACATGATGTAAGATTTGAATGGGAACAGCCATCGTAGACAAAATGAGCTTAAATATTTAGTAACTCATGTTTTTAAGAAATAATTTATCTTTCTTTAGTGAGTAGAATTTAAGCTATCAATCTCTCAATTTATAAAGTTGAAAATGTCTCTGCAGGGTTTTCAAATGTGTTACATCTTGTAAATTAGTGAGTAGAATTTAAGCTATCAATCTCTCTAAATTTATAAAGTTGAAAATGTCTCTGCAAGGTTTTCAAATGTGTTACATCTTGTAAGATCCTCAATTCTTGTGAGAATCGTGGTTCTCTCATGAATGTTCTTGTATCTTTTCTTCCTTGTGAGAACAGAACTAATGATTGTATGGCCAAAATCTTTTTGCGAAGCCAGAAGTTCTGATGCACAGAGAATACCAAATGTTATTCTTTGCTTTTCCCAAAAGTTTGTTTCAGTTTTTTCAGATTTTTGTGAGCATCAACCACTGAAGTTCGCAGTAGGGAATGTTTGTTTGCTTACCAGTCAAGCATAAATATAGCAACACTGGTCAGTATGTTCTTGGGTCAAACCATGTTGCTGGGTGTGTGATGTGTCCTTTTCCCCTCTCACCCTTTTCTTCTGGAAACAAATCAATGTGCCCTAAAATCCCAGAGCTACTATCAGTCTTCATTTTCAAATGGTCCACAGAGATGTATTTTGTCAACAGTATGCAAGTGTCCGTTTCCCATTGATTTTTAGTTCTAGCACTGATAGTTGTCATTCAATTAACGTGTCATTTTCCCACCACCTTTTGGTTTCGGTAAAAATTGATGGTCTGTAAGTGTATGGGCCAAAGTCTCCATTACCTGATTTTCAAAACCTATGTAATACTGCATTTCATTGATCAACTTCTTTCCACACTAATTTCTGATGCTCTCCAGGTAGTAGTACAGTAACTCCAAAAAGACTTCTGAAAAGTCTCAGGTCTGTTATGGTTACTGACAAAATAATATGCTTTGCAAACTGGAGTTGGTAGGACTTAACTAGCAGATGGAAAGAAACAAGATTAACTTAAGTAGCAGCATTTTGTGGCAGAATAATGCTGACAAGCAAAAAAACTTGGCGAATTCTGTTTGTAGCTCTGTTGCTTGCTCTGGATTCTCTTTGACTTCACTGCAAATTGAAAAAAACTTTATTCTTTTATTATTTGTTTTGAGGTGGTTAGTTTTTGTTTTTAAGTACATGAATCAAGAATAGACAATAGATTTGTCTGGAGTGTTTGCTTCGGTAGAATGTAGCATATATGTTGAGTATTCACCAAGTGTGTGCAGTTCCTTCAAAGATTTGACCCGTGTTTACCGTTTATTTGAGTAACTTCTCCATCTATTAACAGTAACAGAAAATCTAGCTGAAGCCATTTAGCTTTTTGCAGAAAGACATTCTCTTCCATTCGCAGATGTAAAATCAAGCTCACTTATTAGGAGGGCAAAAAAATTGTCTCTAGCCCTAAAAATTCTTAATGTCATCTTCACACACAATTGTACAAGCATAGCACAGAATTTTAGTAGTGTTTGCAGGGCAAGCAGCAAAATGCAGTGTTAGATTAAACTTCCTTCTTTGTACTTTCAAGGTTTTCTATTATTTAAAACATGAATAAAGCCATGTGTTAACGTTCAGATTCACTTCCACACAGGACTTGGAGGTATCTGGAAGTATCAGGGTGATTGTTTTCCTGTAGAAAGGATGTTATCCTCAGTCTGCAGTGGGAACTGTTACTGAAGAAAAGTAGCTCTAGCTGCACTAAATTCTCCCATCAACATTGATTGAATAAAATTAATTACCGCTTTCTTGCATGAATTCATAAGGAATATATTATGTTAAGTTGCACCCTTTTTCTTTAACTTCACTGTCATAAACTCTTTGGTTGACTTTTTCCTTTCTCTATTTGAATGGTTTTTTTTCCATTTCCTTACTTCTCTTTCCTCTTTTATTCTTCCCTCATCCTATTTACTACAGGAGAATCAACGTATGCAGCAGAATATAGACTCCATAACCAAAGAGATGTTTGATCTCCAGGAGACAATTAATTGGAAAGATAAAAAAATAGGGGTATGAATCAAATATGGGGGGAAAGGTATTTTTTCATTTTAGAAGTAGACGGATGTCCCCCACACCCAAAGGAATGCTGTGTACTCCAAAGAAATGAAGGTTGCTCCCAGTTGAAATATTTGTAATGTTTTACAGTCTTTCTCTTTAGAAAATGAGCTCCACTTCGTCTTTACTTGTATAAGGATGAATAATACTAATTATATCTAGAACATAATAAGCTGTTATGCATACAATTTTATAATTTTTTAAAAAATACTTTTGAACTGTATTCAGGGCTTGAAAAAGTCATCATTTCCTTACTCCTAACAAAAGTAAAAATGGCCTGGGTCCATATATTGACCCATAGTGATGTAGCAATAATGTAATTTTATACAGATTTGAAATTGATTTTAAAGCTTTTAATCTCCTTAGAGGCAAACATGTTTTTCAAAAGTCAAACAGTTCAAGCCTTGCTCACTATTTGACTCTTGCCTCTGTCGTCATCTTAACAATTTGCATAAGAATTAGTGGATTTTAAAATGGTCTGGTTTACACTACCTGAGGTGAGAGAGCTGAAATAACCCAAATAATGGAAAACCTAGAGAGCTGTAGGAGCTAAGGGTCAAAATGTAGAGAAGCCTTAGTGAATGTTTGTACATACCTAGTGCTAAAAAAGCAATCTTGACTTTTGCAGCCAACTTGTGCGTTCCTGTATTGCACTTCTGATCCTTCCAGGGCTGGTGAGCTTGGATGCAACACTGAACCAAGCTGGTTTTGTGATACACAAAACACCAGAGTTACCAACCATTGGAACTGAGAGTTGGAATTGAAACAATGGTCGTGTGGGACCTTTTGAGGAGCATCTGTAGGGCTCCTGTGTAGGAAGGGAGGGCTTACAGTAATACGGTGTTGGTAATGACTGCACAGCTGACGTAGGTCAAGCAGGGTTTGTCAGCTTTGCCTCTGGGCAGCACAGAATTGGTAAAACTTGAGTCAGCCTCATCCTTGGTGATAACTACATGGCTCTGATCTCACAAGTAGATTGCCTGGTGGTGAGAGGGAGTTAACTGGAAAGTCTTTAGAAAGGAATTTTTGGCCTTTTAGTAACTCTAGGGTCATTTCTTTCTTACTGAATTTTACACTGATTTTAACGTATGCAGATTTCTTTGAAAATGGCTGTATTTGCTAGAGTTCAAGTCACTTGGAAAAGTTATCTTTTAACCAATGATGCCCAGTTAAAAAAAAAGTCCTTTTATACAGTCTTTTTTCAATCCGTATTTATTTCATGTTTCAGTCCTTCGATCCATATTGCAGTCTTCTCTTCCATCATAAAATAGTATTTCATCTTTTAAGTTTTTTGTAAACATTCATCCGAAAGATTTTATCTTTAACCATATTCTTTCTGTACTTACTCTTCAACTTTGTGTACTAGTGTTATGGTTTGAAGTGGGGGGGGGCAGGTCCGGGTGGCAGAAGCTGCCCATCACACCGGACTCCCATCCCCCTCGGGGCTTGAGACAACTAGACTGTCTCAATTTGTGCAATTCTTTCGTGCAAGCACTTTTTTCCTTTCAAATATGTTGCCAGAGTTAGTACAGAGCGTTTAATTTATCTAGTGTTCAAAAAGTAGCTACCACCCAGATTGACAAGACAGACATTTTTTTTCCTTTAGCTAAAACTGTGCTGCCAGTTTCTGTGTTTTTGTAAACAATATCTGTGTTTTTTTCCCTAGTTTTTATTTTTTTACTGTATTGGAATTGAAATCTCTTAGTTCAAAAAATGTAAAAATGCTGCTGTCTTCTTTTTCTCGATTCTGTTACCTAAAACCATTTGCATACTTCTATTAGCTCACAGTTTTTGAGTCTTTCTCCCCAATACTGAGTAGCTTTGCTAATTTTTACTCTCCAGCTTCAGAAAGGAGTAGTTTATAACTAGAATTGTAACCTAGTTTTACGATGTATGCAAGACTGCTGCCTCAGAGGAAGAAGGGGAGGGAAGCAGAACAGACAAAGCAAGAGTTTGTTTTACACCTGCCCTCTTATATTGTCCTACTTCTACAAAGTGATTGAAATTTATGGTTGTATTTGATGTTAAATTACATCAATTTGAGGACACTTAGCTATAACTTCCAGCTTACATTCCTGAAATATACAGCTATTTTACTGTTTGGTGTGGCTCCAAATTGTACATGCGTTGCCCATTTGAAATTAGCAATGGCGTGTCTGAGTTTGGTATAAATTTTGTGAAGGCTTTTGGAATATTTAGAAAATAGGACCCTAGACAAATTTACTTTCTGCCAAAGGTCAGATTTTAATCATACTGGTATGTTAAAACATGGCTGCAGAGATTAGTTGTCCTGATTGCTGCTCCCCACCCCAACAGGAGAATTGCAGAAGTAGGCTTAGTGCAAAGTTGATGTCATATATCATAATCCCTGAGCACACAAACACTAGCAGTTTTACTAAAGCTTTTCAACATTGATTAGCGATTACTGATCTCTCCATAGGTGGAGATATAGGGTTATATCAGTTTCACTTCCTTCCCCATGAAAGCTTTCTGATTTCCAACACTTGCACATAGGGAGTGAGGATAGGAAGGATGTTATGGGAAGGTCAGCAGCATCACAGGGCACTGCCAAGCGCACAGGATCTGTGCCTGCAGTGTGATTCTGGGCCTGTGTGTGCGTTCTCGCAAGTGGGTGAGCTTACTTCCCCTCCATCTCTGCTGCTGTGCTTCAAAAATGGCAAAGGTGTATGTACCTTGAAGTGGAACACAAAATAACGTAATGATTCAGGTTCTTCCCACTGTTAACAGTGTAGTTAGACATCTAGGATGTGTTAGGAAATAAAAGGACAACTTACAAATTCTTAAACTATGATGTGACAGCGAATGCTTTCACACATGTTGAATTACCTATATTTTAAAGGTTACATTTACATACTAATAAATCAAATCAACAAATCAAATCAAATGCAACACCACTTCTCAAATTTTACTGTTGAAATTGAGAAATGCATTAAAACATTGCTGTAGCATATGGGTTCTAGATAATTATTAGAATTCAGCGTACTTCAATTGTTATGTGGGGCAACTAGGCAATTACAATACACAGGTATACACCTTCATTTCTTTCTTGGTATCAGTCCATTCCTAAACAGTCGTGCATGACATAAGGTTCAGTTGAATAATTTTCTTGGCAAAGTGTGTGTACACTTTTGCAGTTGCTGTATGGTCAGGATTATTTGTAATGCATGCAGTATTGAATTTGAAAGGAATTTTGGGATGCTGCTGTCAGGTGAAAGTGTCTGATTAGCTGCCAGGTGACACAGCTCCAGCATAGGTAGGCAAACCCATCTATGTCCACGTTGTGCTTTTAGCTGCAATCCCTTTTTGTGCTAAAATAGTGCTGCTAGTGCTTGCTTTTTTTTGTTTTCCCCTAAGACTGATTGCTTTGGTTTTAGTAAAGGGTGGTTATAATACTTAAGCAAGTAGTAAATAAACCAGTATTTGTAAGTGGATGACAAGCTTATGTATCCAAGGTCTTTTATGAGGTAAGATTTCTACTTCTGTACCCTGCAAAAGGTAGATAAATTAGTTCAATAGATGTAATGTTTTAGGATGTTTGCCAATTGAGTTACAGAAAATTTTATTTCTGGGCATGGAGTGCCTGTATTAAGAAGAATCACTTACTCTTTTGGTGTTCAATCTAGTTTATCAAAATTTACCAAAAATAAAATCTGCTAAATAAAAATCTATTATAGAATCTAATAAGACTCACCTGGGAAAAAAATTGTCATGGCAAACATGGAACAATGAGGCTAGATATGCAGCTTGTAAAAGGTAGTTATCAGAGATGTGTATTGACATATATTAAATACTCCTTTTAATTTCTTTACTTTTATTAAGCTCTTTGTATTTACTTGTAGAAGATCTCTCTGCTATCTGTCATATGCTTTTTCTCTGTGCCATTCTTTTTCTTGCTATCTGCCTGAACCCAGGCCCTAGAAAGACAGAAAGATTACTTTGACTGCATTAAGAATGAGCGAGATCAGCTCAGAGAGGAGTTGGCTGACCTGAAGGAAACAATGACGAGAGGAGAGGTATGTTGGTAGTAGTTACTTTATAGTAACAGAAATCCAGGAATGGGGCATGAAATCAAGGTCAATGCAAAAGAGGAAGAATGGTTACTCTTCTTGTGCAGTCTCAAAACCTGACCTCAGGGTAGGATAAACAGCACATTTTGTCATAACTGTTTTGATCAACTTGAAAAGCTTTTTAAAACTTTTCTGTCCAATCATATTTTAGCACTGCTCTTGTATGAATATGAGGGTTTTTTCTTTTGTATTTTCAGAAACATGGATTAGTTATAATTCCAGATGGCACACCAAATGGTGATGTAAACCATGAATCAGTGGTTGGTGCAATAACAGTTGTATCACAGGAAGCTGCTCAAGTCTTGGAATCTGCAGGAGAAGGACCACTAGGTAAAAATATCCCAACATACTTCATAGAGTGTTTGAAGTCTTTGTTTCCCTCCTCTTCACAGTGGGTTGTGTTTTACAGCCACAAAAAGGTACCTGTGATGCTTCTGGAATACACAATTACACAACTTTCAAGATTATGGTTTTGGGGTTTTTTGGTTGGTGTGATTTTTTTTTATTGTTTGTTTTTTATGCTGAGTAAAAGACAAATGTATATTTTGAGTAAAAAAAATAATGGTGTGTGCTTGGATGTTTGTAGCTGATTAGATCTCTTGGTCCAATTTCTGTTTTATTACTGTCAGACAATATCTTGCCTAAAAGTATAATCTTTAGGATTAGTATGTTTTTCATTGTGTTTCATGAAAGAGAAATTCTTTAAAAGTAAGTATCATCAATGAAAGAACTTCCATTATAGAAAGTGGAAGTAAGGCATAGTATATTCTTTCCCCTTCCTTGAAATACTTCTGACTTCATTAGCGTAAAGCAAGTTTAGTCTTTCATCCTATTCATTAGAAAAAAAACAGTGTTAAAAAACATTCAAAAAAAGATATGGACAACAGAAAGATAGAATGATTTTGGAGGCATTTATTTTAACTTGCTTAGGTTGAACAAGTAACTGTATGCAGAGTCCATCACCTGTAAACCTGTTAGGTAACATGCAAAAAAAACCTCTGTAGACTTGCATTACATTTGCGTAATATAGAATAGTCACATATTTTAGTTTTGACAGAGATTAGACTTGATACATGTTTCTGCTCTGGCTCCATCTTAGTGAAATACAGATGTCTTTATGCTTTGTTACTTACAATTTCCAAGGGAGCTGCTCAATGTTGCTTGAGACTGTTTTGTAGCCATTACCAATCTTCTGACTGATTAGAGATACTGCAACATTCCTGTGGGTTCTTTCCCAAGTACTTCTTTTGTTATTTGAGAACACTTTCTACAAACGTTCTTAACATATGGGGAAGCTTAGCGCCTTCCCTGAAGAGACAGCAATATTTAAGAATAAAGCAGGGAAAAGACTATACAATCAGAAGAAAATATTTTTGGAAATGGCTGTTCCAGATATTGGGGCAAACTATGTTTTACCATTTAAAAAAAAAAATCTCGGTCATTAATTTATTTGGGAAATTACTAAACTCAAAGGTCTTTTAAAATTGTTATACTAATAAACACTGTGAATGAAATATTTTTCCCCTTTTTCTGCTTTTAACTGAAGGCTGGTATGTTGCTATTAGTGAGATATCAAAGTTTTAAGCTTCCAGTGCTATCAGCTTTAAGTTCGAAGAGCATTTTAATGGAAAATGAACAAAAAAAATATGAAAAGTATTTTCTTAGTTACAGATTTCTTTGGTTTTTAATTGGGTTCTTTGGTTTTAGATGTGCGGCTACGAAAACTGGCTGGAGAAAAGGAGGAATTATTGTCCCAGGTAAAATAAGCTGTTATTTTCAGAAATAGACCTTTGTGTGTCCTCTTGCAGAGTATTAACATAGGAGAAATAAACAAATATTAAGCACCAAAGGTTCTTAATCAAATACTTAAGCACTAAAGCAAAATAAAATAACTCAACTTCTTACCTGGCTGGGTACCAGGAATTATCAGCTCCTCTCACTAGGACATCCATGTGACTTTGATCTTGGTTGGTAAAGAACCCTCATTTCACTAACTGGTTAGCTGAAATCTAACTTGCTGCTGGCTCTATTATTAGTGCACGTACTCAGCATTGTTCTTTCTTTTATTTTGTCTTACGCAGAAATACTAAAGCCAGTAAAATGACATTCTCATAAGGTCAAGTGCGCTTTCTTCTAAATTGATAAGTGGTACTATTTCTTTCATCATCGAAGTTACTCAAATAGAAAATTAATATTATCGAAGTATATATTCTTAATACAGTTTGGTATTGAGAAGAGTGGACTCGAAGAAGAGTGGATTTGAACAGACTGGATCGTTGGGCTG